TGGAAAAAACGTCGAATGGATACTTCGCTAACACCACCACAAAAAAACGCTGGCTCGGACACTACTGGAGAATCCTCCAAGGCTAAAAAGGTGCCATTACCCCCACCGATTATGGTTAATGGCGTTAATAACTTTAACGATATTTACGATAAGTTAAATATCATACAAGGAGTCCAAATAAAAGTTTTGAATAACGAAAATATCAAAATAAACGTTCAGGATGCAGACAGCTACAGGCTGGTCACCAAAATGCTAAATGAAATAAAGCTTCAATGGCATTCATATGAAAACAAACAAGAAAGGCCAATTAGAGTAATTGCCAACAGGTTACACTTTTCCTGTGATCCAGAAAAAATTGTAGCTGACCTTTAAAATAAAGGGTTCAAGGCCCTAGAAGCCTCCAACAAACTTAAGTGGAGAACAAAACAACCACTAAACATGTTTATGATAACATTTAGCCATGATGAAGACATCAACAAAATTTTCGAAATTCCCAAAATACTTGGAACTCAAGTGGAAATGAAAGCACTAAAAACTTCCAAATTAGTCCCTCAATGCAAAAAATGTCAATCTTATGGACATACTCAAAAATATTGCGCTAAAGAACCACGATGTGTGAGATGTACAGGAAAACATCTCACTGTAGACTGTTCGAAACCAAAAGATTCTGAGCCAAAATGCGTCCACTGCGGCGACAAACACCCAGCTAACTATAGGGGGTGCATTGTAGCTAAAGAAATACAAAAATTAAGGAATAACCCGAAAAGGCCAACTCCCACACCACAAGCAAGCACAAATGGTCACAGCCAACAACCATGAAACGCAGCTACGCAAAACTCTGCGACAAGGACTTACAGCCAAGCAGTAGCATCAGCTCCTGCCACTGTTAGTGGCAACTCTATTAACCAAAGCACTATGGAACAAACATTGCAATTGATTTTGGAAAAATTAAACAAACTTGATGAGCGATTAACTAAACTGGAAAATAGCAATAATGGCGCTATCATCAATCGTCAAAATGGTCAGTAACCTTAGAATTTTAGCTTGGAATGCCAATGGGCTCTTGCAGCATCAGCAAGAGTTGCAAGTTATACTAGATATACAAAAGATTGACATTTGCCTCATATCAGAAACGCATTTCACAAATCAATCCTATATTAAATTTAAAGGATATAAAGTGTATCACACAATTCATCCTAGCAATACAGCACATGGAGGAAGCGCTGTCATAATTAAAGAAAACATATCTCACATTGAAGAGACGGAATACAAAACAATTGAAATTCAAGCTACAGCAGTAAGTGTAAAAACCAAAACATATACACTAACCATATCTGCTGCCTATATACCACCAAGGCATTTATTGAAGAAAAATCAATATCTCAATTTTCTTAGAAAGTTGGGAAATCGATTCATAGTTGGGGGTGACTTTAATGCAAAAAATACCTACTGGGGTTCCAGACTAACCAATTCCAAGGGGAAGGAACTTCTGCAAGCTATTAGTGAATATCAATGCCAGCCCCTATCCACAGGTAGGCCAACATATTATCCAACCGATCCTGGAAAAATTCCCGATCTAATCGATTTTTTCGTAATAAAAAATATATCTCCAAATTTTCTGGAGATAGAAGAAAGTTATGATTTACACTCAGATCACTCACCTATTATCCTAACTCTGAGTGAATATATAATTAAGAAAAAAGCACCTATCTCATTAGTTAATAAACTGACGGACTGGGCTAGTTTTAAACAAAGTCTGTCGGAAAAGATGAACTTATCAGTACCGCTGCGAACGCCACAACAAATTGATGAAGAAGTCGATTGTTTTATCGTTAATATTCAACAAGCAGCTTGGGAAAACAGTCCCAAATTAAAAAGAATTTTTAAGGGAAAAACTACCCAAAAGAAATTAGAGATCTTATTATAGAAAAAAGGAAACTAAGAAGAAAATGGCAGCAAAGTCGAGATCCCCATGACAAAACAATTATCAACAATATGACGCAGCGCATAAGGCGAGAAATTCAAGAAATCAAAAATGACTCTATTAACAATTACCTAAGTGAACTCACCGGCGACAAAAGCACTGATTATTCTCTTTGGAAAGCAACTAAACGTCTTAAAAGACCAGTTACCCAAATTCCACCCATAAGAAAGTCAAATCAGCAATGGGCAAGGAGTAACGAAGAAAAAGTAGAACTTTTTGCAAGTCATTTAGAAAAGACATTCCAGCCTAACGAAGCACAGGATGAAAATCTTCCCTGGAACGAACCTTATCAAGAAGAAGGCAACATTAAGCCTACTTCACTAAGAGAAATATTAACAGAGATCAAACAAAATATCAGTCCGAAAAAAGCTCCAGGATATGACCTAATTACTGGGGAAGTAATAAAACAACTCCCCAGGAAAGCTATTGTGAAATTATGCAACCTTTTCAATGCGTCCTTTAGGCTTAAATACGTACCTAAACTTTGGAAAGTTGCAGAAGTAATCATGATACCAAAACCCGGAAAACCACCTCATGATGTGTCATCTTATAGGCCAATATCATTATTGCCCGTTTTATCTAAGCTTTATGAAAAGATACTGCTAAAAAGAATAAAACCGATCATAGAAAGACAGGAAATCATTCCAACTCATCAATTTGGATTCCGCGACAAGCACTCTACGATCGACCAAGTACACAGAATAACGAATTTAATAGAAAAATCGCTGGAAGAGGGAAAAGTCTGTTCCGCAGTTTTCCTCGATGTAGCGCAAGCATTTGACAAAGTTTGGCATGAAGGCTTAAACTATAAACTAAAGCTGTTTCTGCCAAAACAATATTCTGATATTTTGGAATCATATATGTGTGATAGACATTTCAGAGTCAAACAGGAAGATTTTGAGTCAAATTTACGAAAAATAAAAGCAGGTGTACCTCAGGGTGACGTGCTAGGTCCCTACTTATATTTATTATTTACATGCGACATCCCAAAACCAGAAAATTGTCATTTAGCAACATTCGCCGACGATACTGGTTTAATTACAGTGGAAAAAAGTATTGAACAATCAACAGAAAAACTGCAGCAGAACGCTGTCAGTGAAGTTCAAAATTGGACCAAAAAATGGCGAATAAAATTGAATGAAACCAAATCAATTCACGTTGATTTTACAAACAAAAACGTAAATCACATACAAATCACAATTAATGACACCCCTATACCATATTCAAATCAAGCTAAATATCTTGGTATGACGCTTGATGCGAAATTGCGCTGGAAAGCACATGTTAAGAAAAAAAGGCAAGAGCTTGAATTTAAGTATAGAAAAATGTACTGGTTAATTGGAAGGACGTCCAATTTAACCATACATAACAAGTTACTACTTTATAGGCAAATACTGAAACCAGTATGGGCATATGGAATTCAACTTTGGGGTTGCACTAAAGATAGTAACATACAAGTTATTCAAAGATTCCAAAATAAAGTACTAAGAAACATTGTTAATGCACCTTGGTACTTTCGAAATAGTGATCTACATCGGGAACTAGGAATTGATACTGTAACAGAGACTATAAGAAAGTACGCAAAAAGCCATGAAGATAGACTACATCGGCATGTGAATGTGGAAGTGATTGAGCTCCTAGACAATACTGAGCTAGTTAGAAGACTGAGAAGGGTGAAGCCGTTCGAGCTAGTGAACTGAAATTGAAAAACACAACAAAACAGTGCTATAAACACATCAAAATTGTGATTTACAGTTTAAGCAAAGTGGGGAAAACTGTTGAGTGAACCTCAAGAATTGTAAACTTTATAGTAAATTAGGTTAAAACAAAATTGCTAACTAGTCTTACTGACTAGATTGTAATGTAATAAACACAATGTGTTTGACAAATAAAAAAAAAAAAAAAAAAAAAAAGATATATTTTATAAAGTGGTCCGTTTTCGTGTTTGTAAGTGTATTATAATTGCCTATCAGATAATTATAAGAATTTTTATACGAGTAAAATGTCTTACGATACTGCTATATAGCAGCATATAAAACACTAATAAACATATTTGTGTTGGTTGGGAGGTCAGTTGAATAATTGTTTTTTGTTTTTGAGAGTTCAATTATTTATAAAAGTATCTTTTTTTTGTATGTTTTTTTGTTTGTTTATAACATTTTTTATAACATGTACATTGTTCATGTATTTAACCAAAAATCGTTTCATGCTGTAAACAACACAGATAAAGAGTAAATTAAAACCTAGAAAAATTAAGTGCTGTCTTTTTGTGCTGGGATTTTGATTTTTGGATTTAGAGCGTACATTAGGGCCTTGTTGAATTTACTAACATTTTCCTACCCTGACGAAAGAATATCCTAGCAAATTGAAATAATTATTCTAGAGATATTGGCTCAAAAACAACTATAGCTGAGTAGCTTCTCGTATGGGACCTCAGCACCTGCTGGGAAATTAGCTAACTAACCAAAAAACTGTTCAGTATTGAATATAGGTAGTGTTAATTGAATGTAGTGTGTGTAATTGAAATTTTAGCACAAGAACAGGAGTGGTACCTAGTGTAAACTTTTATTGACCTCAATTATTGAATTAATAACTCACAATTATTATTAAAATGACACAGTATGTTTCGATTTTTAAGGAATGTTAGATCGAGGGTTTTTCTGCCGTGCTCTTTTCCCTCGTTAGTTCCAGGATGAGAACGGTACGATTTATTTTAATAATAAAGTAGACGTTTCACAAATTTTTCGTTTCTTTTACATGTCACCACTTCCCTCAAATTTCCCAAATATTTGCTATGTCAAGCGCATATTCAGTAAGTAAAATTGAGTAAGTTTCCACAACGTAGGTCCTATTTGTTTTTCATTTCGTTTTTCAGAAGATTTGTTGTTTAAAGGTATAAAATATTCTCATCATTCAATCTTACTGAACGAACTCGGGTATGTTATACTACAATGCCAAAGAAAGATTGAAAATAGCAAGAAATTATAACCAGACGGCTCAAGATTTAGTTCCGCTTATGATTGGACGCAATGTTTATATCCAGAATCCAACAACAAAGCGATTGGACAATACAGGTGATATTGTAGAAGTTGGTCCCTACAGAAAATACACAATAAAATTATCAAGTGGCAGAATATATATCAGAAACAGAATATTTATTCCTCCAATCCCAGAAATGGCCAAAGAAATTTGAAGGGAAAATGGAATATCTGACTAGTAGGGGAGATGTGGTAGTCCTGTATAAATAAAGACATTTGACATGTGGAGATGTTTTGACATTGGTTATTAATTATTGTAAAATTATTAAAAGGTTGTCAATAAATTTCTATATAAAATTCAAACATAACAGTAGCTATTTAAGAATATTTAGTTGGGGTGACTTTTACTTTCCCAAAGCTGTTTTCGTGAAGGTTTTTAAGTAAAATGATCATGTTTTGGTACTCCTATTCTCTCTTCAGGACCAGATACATTTTTTTTTTCTTTTTACTTTTCTCAAAGCAGAAAAGTAATAATAACGTTTTTGTTTTTTTTTTAGTTAACATATTATGTCCTTCCAATTGATTTGAGTATTATTCCGACATGTCTTCGTATCTCATTTTATTATAATATTTTATAAACTTGAAATAAATAAATGTTTTCGAAAAGTATATTGCGTAAAATATAATTCCTGTTAGGCCAACAACTTTAAACGTTCTATAAACCAAATCGATATATTTGATTTACGATTTTTATTTTGGTGCGCAGATTATAAAATGTCTGATTGCTGCGCTACTAAATTTACGACCAACGTGTCATTGCAGATTATCGTATTTTAGAATGAAGCATAAATAAAGCAAACTGATTTATATCCTATGTAAAAATTTTTGCAATTTTAACCAAAGCGTAGTTTAGTTTCAAAAAACAAAACATTTTGCTGGAAAAATATTAGATAAAATATTTAGGAAACGAAATAAAATAAAAATCTGATACAAGACTAAAAGTGTGCAAGTGATTTATTTAATGCCACTGAAAGCTACCAAAGAAGTTAAAAGCCGTAACAAAATGTTTTAGAAATTCCTCTGAAAACTCTTATAATATGGCTGCCAAGCCAAATAAATTCATGAATAAATATTTTGGTTTGTAAGCGCTAGACCACCTAATTAAATGACAAATTGTAGTTGCTAGTTTTAAAAGCTGAATGGAATAATGAAGTGCCAAAGTGGCCGACACTCAACTTTCTAAAATTTAATTTATAGCCAAGTTGAAATACAAGAGCGAAATTTCCCACGCGGCAATTGCCGGAGTGTTTAAATTCGCGGTAAAATATCGCGAAAAAATATTATACCCCATTACGAAGATTTTAACGTAATTTACTTTATACGCGGTGGTGAGTATAAAATAAAATCGTAAATTAAGTTTAATGTTAAAGACTCGACGGCCGCGTTAATTTGACAAATATTGCGGGGAAAAAAGCACTAAATTTTATTTACAATATGTATAACGTATACAGGCATATGTACCCTTATCATAAGATGGCGCATCAACGTTTCAAAATCAAAATAACTACATAAAATTATACTCCTTGACACAAAACGGGATAATTCACTTATGATCTTATAAATTTCAAATCCACGTGCATTGAAAATTCTACAAGAGATGCACTTAATTAATTAATCAACCCTAAATAATTAGACCACAAATTTTCCTGTTAAGTAATTTTCATTATATAGGCTTCCATCCCGAACTACTAATGGCTCTAGAATACTAACTCAAAAGGTGTATTATAGCGAAATCCCTTAGGGGATATTTTCATGCCTTTGCTAACCTCCCGTGAAATCTGAGTGGCGCTGTCGAGACAGGAGCTTTTTGCGATAGCTTGTGGTTTTAAGGGCTCCGGGAAAGTAATCCTCGATTTATTTATTTATTTTTTCTTCGGAAGTGTATAGACAATGATTTATTACTGAACTCTATTGATGACCTGTTTTTGTGAACTAAAATCTTTATGTGTCATGGTAACATATCAAAACAAAAAGAGTAGAATTTAGTTCTTTATTATTATTATTATTATGTCTCAATATCAATTGCCTCTTTCTATTGGCTCTTTCTAAACCTTGACGCCCCATTTTTCTCAACTTCTATCAAGCAAATATCTAAGTTACTACCACAGCTTTTACTACATTAATTTATTATAGCCGTTTACCCATCCTATCTACGTTAATATCTTCTCAAGTTAAGTTGACAACTAGGCAATGAAAAAGGACAATGAGTATTGGTACATGGAAAGTTCAAGGAATCTCTATAAGGAAATAAATGAGGTGATATCAGAGATCAAACATCAAAAAATGGTAGGTCCATTTTTCGCCTATTCTTTTTCATCTCTAAATGTTAACTTATCTAGTTTTTTAATTATCGTATCTATTTCTTCAACTGCCGTACCTATCAATTATGGATCCAGTATATTTCTAACTAGGAACCCAAAATAAATATGTAATTTTTCAAAAAGGCAATACCCAAGCAATATTGTATTTTTAAATTAGCAATAGAATTCAGACTAAAACAAACCACCGCACAATTTGATGAGATTTGCTTCACAATCAGAAAATCTAAATTCGTGAATATATCTCGCATATAAATGATATGATATTGCTCGGAATAAGAAATTCCATTTGCTTGCAAAATTGGAGGAGCTACATTCTGAATATTTGCGGTAATGTTTCGCTGTCAAGAGATATAATTTTCAAAATAAAATCATCTTATTTTTATGCATAAGATATTTTTTTTTTGTGTTATATTTGTTTCAAATAATTAAAGCAATTTTGATAAATATGAAAATATCAAATCTTTTAAAATTGTCTTAAATAATATACTCTGTAACTATTAGATTTTTCTAGTCGATCTCATTGATATTCGATACAACTTTCTATTGAGAGCGCGGCTATCCATTTGGAAGAATACTTCCTTATTTCTGCTGCTTTTGTTTGCCGTGACTTTGAAAATATTGGAAAATGTATGCAAAATTCACAGATATGAATTTTAGTTATATTCATGAATTTTATTAAAATTGAATATGAGAAAATCAACTTTTGCCAAATAACAAAATTTGAGTACCAAGTTTCGTGGTTTTATGTCATCCTAATTTTATTTTTCACTATTGAGAAATTGTCATATTGATTTGACTCGTTCGTTTTAACCCCACATTCATCAAATAGTGTTCAATGAGATGACTTATCAATAAGATTTTGTAATGTGCTATTCTCCAAACTCTGCACATTTAGAGCCATTTCCAAGACTCAAATCACATTCATTTTTCTATGATAACACAGAATCAGGTTTGCATATTATAATATGACCTTATTGTTAACAACATAATCCATAGAACTATCGATTCAAGTAAATAAAACAGCCACAAGAAATTCAATAAAACTTATTTCCAAATTGGTTCTCTCCTCGGTATCTAATGAACTGTAATATTTTCCGAAGGGATTTTACGCTGGGCACGATGCTGAAAGGCAAACAACCCTGTAGCATGAAATACCCTCAATCGCATCGCATTTATTATTTGAAAAAAAAGCGGCTATTTTTCTCTTAATATTAAAACGAAAATACATATAATAAATTTTCCTCGATCGCACAAAAAAACATAAAATACTAAGAAGAACATAAAGTATGTTTTCCGCACTTGCGGCTTGCACGAATTCCGCTGGCTCGTCGTTCGTACAAATGCCGTTGCGTGCGGGAAAGTATAACTTTCCGTGCTTGTTACAGGTAAATAACTATATATCATTGTTCAAATGCAACTATATCTACATCTAATAACGTCTGTTTTACTTCCACACCAATGGACTGGAGCTGATTCAAGTCGACACTTGACCAAACATTCTGATACCATAGTAGATAACGAAATAAACAAAAAAAAGTAGATAACGTCCACAGTTGGCAGATTATGTGAATCGGCCATTTGAAAACCTTTCTTCATTTCAGCCATAGTACCTTTTCTACCTTAATTTCGATAAACTCTATAACACAGAAATCGACATGAAGGAGATAGCAGCAATATCAAAATACTTGTTAAACGTTAAACAGACTCTCTCGTTAAATTAAAACCGAACCATAATAATAATAGCAATAATATTATTATCAATATTCTTTATTGCCAACAAAAATCGCAAAAGCAACGTCACAAGAGGCTGATCCAAATAGCTAGTAACGCCACTGTACTTGCGCGTGCTAACTCATTACGCATTGTGACGTCAGACAGCGTTTCGTGCGTTCAAACGAATATCAATATTTCGTCTCCGTTTTTCTCATAGAAAGAATTTTATGATTTTCGTAAAATTTTGTAGATTTACTTATGAAACGATGCTTAATAATTTGATGATGGTTAAACGGATTTTTTTTATTTTGTGAACATTCCTATTATAGAGGCTCTTTGCCTTAATCGTTCCTAAGTTTAGTATAAGTAACTCACTTATATTTGAAAAATGGTTTTGGATTACGTTAACACGTTAAATATTTCCTTCACCTAATAAACCTTGAGATAGGGACTGCTTAGTGAGTGCAGTCATTTTTTTTTGTCACATTTTGAGGGCTGAATATGGCTTGTTAACAGATGAGAATATAAGTATTTTGAATGCCTGCTCCCCGTTCGAAATATCCAGAGAACGTTTTATAGTACGGGAGCTGGCGACACTAAATTTTGTAAGATTTCATAACGATTAGTTTTATTTTTTTTGTATCATCTTGGAGCTATAGAAAATTAAAATCGATTCCTGCAGGGGTACCAGCGGGACACTGATTGTCTGCGATATGTTAATCACGTCAAAAAAAAAGTTCAATTGTTGAAAATCATAAAAGTTGAAACTTTATCAATTTTTTAATAACATTTGAATAAAACATAAAACGACCTCCTGCCACTTTTTTGGTAGACCTATACACTCCTGTCATACTTTTATTTATGTAAAAAAAAAAATTATCAATTGATATAAATTATAAAAGTTTTTTTTTTTTTTAGCATTTCACTAATTATTACGATAACTAAAAAATATATCCTGCCAGTCATTTGATGGGACCTGGCTTCGGCAGGAGCAAAGTTGTTGCGCGGAAACACCCTCTATATTCACTATTTCTAGGCTTCCAAATTCCAAATCCAAAGGTTCTCGATGCTTCTAACCTGAATGTTTTGTTTATTTTTTGCCAGGTCATAATTAATAGTTGGGGAGCTGGCGTCAAAAACATGCAAGAGTTTTCGCAAGGCGGATATTTTCAAAATAGGTCGTACTTTAGTGCTAGAATGCTAGTGTACAGTCAGCACTCACAGTTCCGGGACAGCTGGCTCTGGGACGCGGGCAAAGTTGTAATTTTAAGAAGCATCTAAACTGTTTTCTCAAAGCTCAAAATTTATAGAAATTTTGCACATTATCTGTTTGAAGGTCACAGATAACGTATGTAAATCGTCAGACGTCTAGTTCGTTGCAAAAAGGGGGTGAGACGTCCTCAAAGTTCTTATTTTATGGCATTTTCTTCGGTGTCCTGTCAAAATATATTTTTGCAGGTATTTGACAAATATATTTGAAGAAAATGCCATAAAATAAAAACTTTGAGGACGTCTGACCCCCTTTTTGCAACGAACTAGACGTCTGACGATTTACATACGTTATCTGTGACCTTCAAACAGATAATGTGCAAAATTTCTATAAATTTTGAGCTTTGAGAAAACAGTTTAGATGCTTCTTAAAATTACAACTTTGCCCGCGTCCCAGAGCCAGCTGTCCCGGAACTGTGAGTGCTGACTGTACACTAGCATTCTAGCACTAAAGTACGACCTATTTTGAAAATATCCGCCTTGCGAAAACTCTTGCATGTTTTTGGCGCCACCTCCTGGACTATAAAATTTACTAATATTTTGTTGTAGTCCTTTTCCGTTGGTTTTCTGTGATTGTTCTATCATATATCAGAAAATACAAAAACAAACGTCCCAACTTCGCCACGATCGTGTTTTGTGACGATTACGCCGAAAAGTTCAACATAACCCAACTTTTTGCCATGGCGGCAGCCTATCAAAAATTCAAGATGGCTGCACTGCCGCCAATGAAATCGCACAAATTAAATCACGTGATTAGTTACGCTTACGTCAATAACGCCCTGATACCAAACAGACGAAACTATACGATTACGTCGCAATTACAATTTTCCATGATGCCTACCTGCAAGCCAGTTTGTGTTTTTTGCAATTCAAAAAAAGAAAAAATAATTTTCTTTACACAAGAACGTTTGATTAAATGCACGGAAATTTTGAAAATACGTCACCAAAATAATTTGCAAGGAAAAGATGTGAAATTACCATCGGCTTTATCTGACGTGTTTGAGTAATTTCACGGCATTAAAAGCAAAATATAAAAAATCGGGTAATGATTCCGTTTCTACGAGCAGTGTGAAATCTTTATCAGAGCCTTCAACATCTGGTGTTACAGAGTAAGTACCTATGCATATTATACAAATTTTTTCGATCATATACTGTGCGAGTTGTGATAACGCAGTTTCTTTTCATTTCTGTTCTTCGCTTTTCTGCTTTTTTGGATAAAAATCTCAAGTAACAGAGATATTTAAATAGGTACATCAATACTGAAATATTTTTTTTCTGCGATTGACAAGAAATGTCAGCATTTTTGACCGCTTGACAGGTCGCAAAACGTAATATTCTGGTATTTTAATTATGTTTCAATAGTTGCTAAGGAATCAATGAATAACCATACAGGAAACACTTTTCCGGTCTAGGCCGGGAAAGTGATTCTCGTACTGCTGAATAATTGAAACCAAAAGACAAACATTTAACAAGTATTTAACCGATCGCAGAAAAAATAGTATGTGTATTTCGGTGGAAAAGCACATTCTAGGCCTTCGGTGTTTGTCGTCAACTTATACCGTCGGCCGAGAATGTGTCACTTTTCCACCTAAATACACAATATACTATTTCTTTTTATTAATGTACGTATTAAATTTCAGTGAAATTATGGAAGGAATTGAAGTTCCAGAAAATGCAGTAATCGAATCCGAATCATCAGTATGTGACGAACCGTTTGCAGTATCAGAAGACTCTTGTGACGACCCAGGAACTGAAAAAGATACCGAGTGTTCAAAAGTATGTATTTTTTGCAATTCAAACCGCAAAAAGCATACAGGTCGATGGCAAAATTTACATAGTTCCTGTGCACAAGATACGGGTGAAAATATAAAGTCTCAGGCGACAGAAATGAATGACATGGGTTTATTAACAAAAATTGAAAACTTATCATCACAAGGATGTCCAATTTTATACCATCGCATATGTCTCGTACAGTTCCAAAATAAATTCCAGTCGCATATTGCTTCAGAAAAGGAAAAAACTGATTGGCACATGAAACGTGATACAGTAAGTGCTGCATTCGATAAGATTTGTTCATTCGTCTACGAAAATATCATTCGGAATAAGCACAGTTATTATTTAGATTTTTTGCGAACGTTGTACGCTGAATATCTCAGTGAGGAAGTCAGAGATAGTAAAACTTCGCCCAATACTTTCTATACCCGCTATTTAGAAGAGAGATTGCTGAAAACATACCCTAAAGGCATATCGGTTATACAAAACAACAGAAGAAAAATAGTTAAACCATATACAGGCGTTGTGTTGAAAGATTCAGATTTTTCCCTTATGCAAGACGAAGAAATTGTACAAAAAGCAGCAGTTATCCTACGTAGATCCATCCGAGAGTTGGAAAAAAGATCGATACCAGAAAAAATATCGGTCCCTGATTTGATAAACGGAGAATGTAAAGTTCCTACTATTTTGTCAGAGTTTTACAACATTTTGCTTAGCGGCGGTGCATATCGTCGAAAAAAAAGTCCTCAATGCCAAAGACTGTCGAAATCGTTTTCGGAAGATGTTATTCATGCCGTTTGGAATGGAAAAATGATGCCTTCAAAACATATCGTATTAGGTCTGACCCTTAAAGGCTTAACTAACAGTAAAAAAATAATTAACATTTTGAATAGATACGGCCATTGCTCCAGTTACACTACGTTGCAGGAATTAGAAACTGAAGCCACTTTCTCATCCAGTAATCAATTAGATATTTGTCTCGAAGATATAATAAGAGCACCAAATTTATGTACAGGATTAGCATTCGATAACTTCGATAGATTTGTTGACACTGCTTCTGGCAAAGATACTCTTCATGATACTGTTGGGATCATTTTTCAAAATATTGTTGATAATATCGAGTCTGCCACTGAAACTGAGTCAGAGATGAATGAAAGTGTCGAAAGCTCGAGTCGTACAAAGAGACGTCGTACATTTGACACTATTACTCACGAAATGGAAGCATATACAAAAAAACCAAAAATCACTGAAACTCTGATGCCACTTCATATTGTCACGCAATGTTCACTCCCAATAAATTTCAAAATTGCTCAGCAAATCGACACAGTATGGATGCTTTCTCATGCTCTTGAAATAGAAAACATACCGATGTGGGTCGGTTATAATAGTTTGTTATACAACGATAAGTCCAACCGACAGAAAATTTCATATTTAACAACTATAAATGAGTCTCCAACTAGTGATAAGGTTGTTCTCGAAACCTTGAAGCAGCCAAAAGGCTGCTGAAGAATGTGGCGAGAGATATATGCAAGTGACCTATGATTTAGGCATAGCAAATAAGGCGCTTAAGATTCAAAGTGAGAAAAGACCTCTTTTCGATAATCTCTTCATACACATTGGTCCGTTTCATATAATGATGGTGTACTTCAAGGCGATTGGTAAATACATCGATAATTGTGGCTTAACAAATATTATCGTCGATACTGAACTGTTAGCTAGTGGCTCTGTGAATGGATTGATTACTGGCAAGCATTTTAACAGATGTAAAAGGCTTCATCCGCTTGCTGCTTTAGCGATTCAAATAATGCATTATGAAAGCTTTGTGAAATTAACAAATCTCGAAATCCCTGAAGAAACGAGACAGTATCTTGAAGACTTAAAAAATGAACGGCATGACAATCCGGAGATTAACAATCAACATTTATTAGAAATATTAAAGAAGTATGAAGAATATGAGACAAGTACACTTGCTGGAGAGTATGGGAAAACTCCACAATTCTACTTGATATACTCAAATTTGGTTCATTACTATCTACTGTTAAATAGAAGCATTCGAATTGCAGACTTGGACCTATTCAAATTTGTACTTCCGAAGATAACAAATCTTTTTTTCACTTTTAACCAACAGAATTATTCGAGATATTTGGTGAAATATTCTGACAATCTCCAAAAAGTGGACGAAACTCATCCCGGATTGAAAGAGCAATTTGAAAAAGGATCCATTGGAATTAGAAGGACGAGCAAACCTTTCTCTCGACAACCAATTGATCTAGTGCTGCAACAAACAATCAATGCCGACACTGCAAATAAATTAACAGGCATCATTCAATCAACAAATTCTATTTCAGCTCGGCAGAGGTGGTGTAAAAGCCATAGCATACGAGCGAGAATAATTACGCATGTAATGGAAACGACTGGATTGAGAAATCGACAGGATATTACAGCAGATCTGCGGAAGAGTTCTATTGACAAAAGTGCCGACCAATTAAAAAAATTAATTGCAAATATAAGGCAAAACATGAATCCTTTTTCAAGCACTCTAGATGGAAACTACTTATATAACATTTCAAGTGGAAAGGCAGCGAAAGCAGATGTTGCGGAATTCCTTCTCAACGTTGAGAAAATAGGAAACGAACAGCGCGAAAAATTTATTACTGAGTGTGCCGAAGATGGTAAACGATTTGAGAGTGTTATAAAACGAAATAAAGTCTATAGTTTCACCAAATCACAAAAAAAGAAAATTAATGTTTCTGGAAAAGTTGTAGAGGTCCGTATGCAACGTGACTTATTTGGAAAACTGCTCGCAATTTCTTTGCAACAATCTCTACAACTTGATAAAATTTTGGCTTATCCATTGATGCCAGTTCCATTATCGTTATGTCACATCGATGGAACAATGTGTAAGACAAATAAATCCGTTCTCTTGAAACTGCTGGAAAATAAAATAGACGTAGAGCCACCATCACATGTAGACGTTCAAATTTTTGATGGGTTTTTCATGTTCCATCTTATGAAGGAGATTCCGGTGACTTTTGGAAATATTTCCAAGAAAATTTTGCAAATGTTCACGGTTAATACAGCGAGTACTGTCATAATTACATTTGACCAATATTTCTCTCCTTACATTAAAGATAATGAGCATACTTTACGTGGAACGAGTAGAAATGAACGTTATCAAATCACCGGTGGTGAACAAACACAACCTGCTGATTTCTCCACAGTACTGAAGAACATCAACTTTAAAGAAGCCTTGGTGAAATTCATTTTAGAAGATTGGAGGAATCCTTCAATGGCACCATTCATTAAAAATTAGACAATATATTATGTTAATTATGAATCATGTTATAAGTACGAGGAAGTGAATGGTACTGTTTTGAGAACTGAGGAGGCAAATTTAGCATGTCCTGCACATGAAGAATCGGACACAAAAGTAATCTTCCATGCTTGGAAAGTTGAACAAGATTCCAATGTTGTTATAAGATGTTCCGACACAGACATTCTGATCATTGTACTTGGTAACATGAAATTCCTCAATGAAAATGTAAAAATCTGGTTAAAAGTAGGTGTCGGGAATAATGAGAGGTACATAAATGTCAGCAAATTATATGAATTATTGGGTCCAGATTTAAGTCGTGCACTCCCAGCATTTCACGCATTCACAGGATGCGACTTCAATCCAGCGTATTTTAAGAAAGGCAAGAAGCGGCCTTTCACAGTTCTCCAAAACTCTCCCCAGTTAATTAATGTATTTTCCAACATGCACAAGTATCCAGATATTGATAAAAATTACATTTTTGATACACTGGAAAAATTTATTTGTGAGCTGTACGGTTTTAAAACAATGAACAGCGTGAATGAAGTACGATTAGCTACGTTCATGAAAGCCTATAAATTCAGCGACACCCAAGAACAGCTTAAACTACAGTCGACAAGTTTTGATGGATCCATATTACCCCCATGTAAAATGGAGCTACAACAACAAATTCAGAGGGCTATTTATATTTCCAGTGTGTGGTGTAATGCACACTTCCAACATCCAACGTTGCTATCTCCTACGGATTGTGGATGGCAAGAAGTTGATAATAAGCTGGAGTTCTTATGGTTTGAGGGTGATCAGTTACCAACTTCGATCAGCGACATTATTATTGATAAAATTTCTGAAACCGACGACGCAGGTAATAATAATATTTTCTGTAGTGAGTAATTAATTATTATAGATGCCACTTATATTGAAATTATTCATAATCATTTTACAGAATCTGATATGGTAACTGATGAACGAGATGACTATGATACCATGGAGCGTGAGCGTATTCAACGTGAAAGTGATTTCAACGATAGCGAGGATTCTGAAACCGAGGATTTATCCACTTTTGTTGGAACTGTCTACGGATATATTGACGAAGATACGTGTCTCTAAACTTTTTGCGCTTAAATAAATAAAAAACAAATGCGTTTTTGTAATTATGTCGAGACCCTATTACTTCACTAACTGCTGCCGAAGTCAGGTCCCATCAAATGACTGGACTGGCAGGATACGTTTTTTAGCTATCGTAATTATTAATGAAATGCTAAAAAAAAAAAATCACCTTTTATGATTTATATCAATTGATAATTTTTTTTTTACGTGAATAAAATTATGGCAGGAGTATATAGGTCTACCGAAAAAGGGGCAGGAGGTCGTTTTATGTCTTATTTAAATGTTTTTAAGACAATTGATATAGTTTCAACTTTTATTATTTTGAACATTTGGACTCTTTTTTTCAACATGTTTGGCATACCGCTGTCAACCGTTGTCCCGCTAACAAGGTGGCAGGAGTTCATTTTTTTTTGATCAGTGATATTAATATTACAAAATAAAACATAAATCAAGCTTTATGAAATGGGACAATAAAAAGTGTCGCCAGCTCCCGTACTATTACGAATCTGCTCGATTTCGAACTGATTACCGCCTGGCGATTTTTCAGTGTTATTTTGACAACAAAACCTTTCATTCTCTCGACTGCCAGACAGAAAGTAAATGCGAAAAGTTCTATACTTTTCTCTTGCAAGTGACACCCATCCCCACTTTTTTATGGGTATATTATTTATCAATGTCAATCTTTTATTCAAAAGCCTGACAATGATTGAAAAGAATATTTGTTTTTACTTCAAGTAAATGCTCCATTTTGTAGTTTTCACTTCAAAAAATTATAGCATTTACTCCACATAATTCTTAAAGTAAGTACTAGAAGCAATTACTTTATACTTTGCTCTATTTACTTCAATATATAGAAGTTTATACTGCAGAAATTACTAATAATTTCTAGTATTTCCTCCATTAGGGAGTATTCGGTGTAGTTTTAGAGAAGCTACTCAAGAGTAACTTCACATCAATTACTTCGATTGAAAAGGCGTTAGGAATGGCTTTTTTTAATAATAGGCCTCTTGCATCAAAAAAAACAAAGGGTGTTCCGAAATTAATGCACCAAATTTTTATGGCATATTCTACGTCGAAAATAAACCCTAGTTTCCCATATAAACATATGTCCGGAAACGCTTCCTTTCCGAGATACAGGGTGTTTAAACTCTAAATTCTAAAAACTATCATAACTTTCAAACCACTCTAGATATTTCATTGAAATTTTGTACACTGCTTTCAAGCAGCAAAAGAAATTTTTTGTTGTGAAATTATTTTTTTAAAAAAATTACCAGTGACGTCCGTACCAAATTTCTATGGATTATTTTTCAAGAAAAAATTGGTGCGCCACTGCCACCCCATTCAATTTGGATCAAATTTGATCTCTACACTTTTTTCTGAAAGATGCACCATTTTCAAATAAAAAATAAAGAACCATTTTGGGGCATGGCGAAATCGTGAAAATTATGATTAAAATGCTAAACATTAAACAACTAAAGTTTCAAATTATTTCTGTGACGTCACAGATTTTTTTTTTTCAAATATTTCACATCAAAAAATGTCTTTTGCTGCTTGAAAGCAGTGTACAAAATTTCAATGAAATATCTAGAGTGGTTTGAAAATTATGATAGAAAAATATTTTTTTTCTTAGAATTTCAACACCCTGTATCTCGGAAGGGAAGCGTTTCCAGAAATATGTTTATATAGGAAACTAGGACTTATTTTCGACGTAGAATATGCCATAAAAATTTGGTGCAATAATTTCGGAACACCTTGTATATACAAAACTTAATATTTGTATAACTTCCGGAATAATCATATTTGGGAGATATAATAGTTATTTATGTATTAAGGGTACTAAGTAGATGAGTATGCCTTGAGGGCGACAGTCTTACAAAGCCGAGGGCCTCTGGCCCGAGGATTCGTAAGTCGCCCGAGGCTATATATATATATATATATATATATCTATTAGTACCCGTGGTGCATACAAACTTTTATGTCATACCAGTTGGTTGTGAATAATAAATACCTGGGAAAAAAGTGTCACTTCGCAAATTGTCATCAGTGTGCAAACATCATCATGACAAAATAATATGTTTATAAGTGTAAATTTATATTTTGTTAATAAAGAATAAGTTAAGTGAAAACTGTTTTTTGCGTCTTTATGCCCGCGCGGGCCATAATGTGTACTTTATGCCCGCACGGGCATAAAGTAATGAATTATGTAGATGGTATCTTAGGTATAAAAACACAATAATGTATTGGTATGACATAAAAAAAGTAACGATTTTTTTTCGATTTCCTACAGTTTGCAATAAACAATAATCAATTTAATTTTCCATGCAAGTACCCTATTATAATGGTAAAAAAAGGTAGAAAATATTAGACCGTGAGATAAGGCCTGTTTAGTGGAGTATTTTTTTTTTGTCTGTCATTTTGAGGGATGAATGTGGCTAGTTAGCTGATGAGAATATAGGTGGTTTAGTGCTTGCCACCTGTTCGAAATGTCCACAGAATGTTTCGCCGGAAAACTCGACTTCGGACTGGGATTACCGTCTGGCGATTTTTCAGCAATATTTTCACAACAAAACCTTTCATTCTCTCGATTACCAAACAAAAAGTAAACGCGGAAGCTTCTTTTCTTTTCTCCTGGAAAATGACACTCATCCCCACTTTTTCAGCTATTGAAAAGCATCTGGTATTTTTTATGGGTAAATTATTTATCAATGTCAATCTTTTATTTAGAAGCCAAAAAATTTGAGATCATTAAAAAAAAAAATCCTCATGTAAATCAATTTTTTTCTTCTGCAAATTTTCGAACGGGAGGCAGGCATTAAAACCACCTAGAGATTAAAGTGTGGTAACGTTACCGCGGTAACGATAATTTTGGTAAGGTAATTTTGGTAATTTAACCCGACAAATTTCTTTACCGGTAATTTTCAGAAATGCTTCCTCAATGAAATCACATTCAGGCGACAATCCTTTTCAAGCATTATTCGCCATCTTGTTGTGAATTTATAACGCGCATTCAGGGTTGGCATAAACGAATAGTTATTTACCTAACAAGTGCGGAAAGTGGTGCTTTTCCCTACGCGACGGCAGTTGGCAAGCTCTCAAGGGTGGAAAAGGCATTTTCCGCAGAAGTTAGGTGTAATGTTTTTCCACAAGTATTTTTGTTCATCTAATTCATCAAAAATTGATCAAAAAATCTGTGTAAGATCTAAATTTTCTCAATGGAAAATAGTATCTATAGATAGTAATTTGATTTGAAGTAAAAAATAAGTAGTACCTATATTTTGAATTTAAACATTGTGCTCGTAGGAAAAACCTATTTCAAAAACCCGGTGGGTTTTTGTTGAGTTCTGAGTTAGAGATTTTTACTTGGAATGTCAAAGATCTTAGAACACAAAAACCCTACAGAAACACAACTCTTGCAAAAACCCAAAAAAACCAATAGAAATTTTCAAAAACCTCTAGAAAAATCTCTTATGCTATCCTTATTCAGCACATTTTATTTATTTGTTTTCTTTTTGCCCTTCTAAAATAGGTATTTACTTTACTAAGTATTTAGTTCAGCACCAGATTAGGAGAATTTATTTCTATTTTATTTTTGTCTGATTTTCTTTGCTGGTTTTTCCTTTATTTGTTTAAATATTGTAATATTTCTATGTATGAGGTTATGTTTTACAACAAACAATATTATAATAAATGGGTGTTTAGGTAAAAAAATCCTGAAAATCTATAATCCTTGAACGTATAGGTATAGTATATAGTCATAATTGTTTCTTTCACGAATCATGAAATATTTCCAAAATTACTAAAATTACCAAAATAACCGCAAAATTACCGGTAAATTACCACCGAGAAAGAACAAATGAAAATTACCGGTAAACTTCAATCTCTAAAACCACCCATATTCTCACCAGATTAGTAGCCACATTCAGCCCTCAAAATGCCAGACAAAAAAAAAATGACTCCACTAAACAGGCCCTATCTCACAGTCTATATGTCATGGAGATATTTTCAAGGACTCTAAGGGTCGGTATTATAATGTCCAGTTGACCGAAGGTTGAAACTCAACTCAACCATCGGTCAACCGGACATTATAATACCGGCCCTAAGTGATCCTGGATATCAACAAGGAGTTGATGTAGATGTCGGGCGGCGTACATAAAACTAAACAACCGTATCAAAAGTCCATTAGGCGTGTGAGTTTTTATAACATCATTAGTCGCGCTGTATCACAGGGATACATACCGGGTGGGGCACGGAAAACTTTCCACCCAGGTTTTCTCAGGTGTTAGGTGTTTAATCAAAAATCGCTCAGACACGTCAATTTTTGTTTTTTGGGGGACACATTTTATTGGTATTTTCACCCCCTACCTTTGAACCCCTAAGTGGGGGTAACAGGTACCCTTAAAATTTCAAATGGAAAGAGTGGTCGAGTGATATGTCGTTTGGTAGCTATTTTCATTGAGATTATATCCCCGAAGTTTTAAGTTGCTACTATTAACCCTGCCGAAATGGCGGCATGTCAAAGTTAGGATAAATGCTTTTTTTCGATAATCTTAACTGTATAGTTTTTACCTGTCACACCTATGCGTAGGTAACAGGTAAAAACCAAACAGCATTTTTCCATTGATTTTTCCTAACTGATAAGCCGCCATTTTGACAGGGTAAATAGTAGCAACTTGAAACTTCGAGGATATAATCTTAATGAAAATAGCTATCAAATGACGTATCACTCAACCCCCCTTTGCATTTAAAATTTTGTGG